CCTTGAATCAAGGAGAGTCTACTGATTTCGTGGTCTGCTACCATGGATTAAGAAGATTGAGTCTACTGATTTCCTGGTATGCTACCATGAATTAGGGAGAATCTACTAATTTAATCTACTAATTTCCTAGTCTGCTACCATGGATCAGGCAGAATCTATTGATTTCCTTGTCGGTTACCATGGATGAAGGAGAATCTACTGATCTCATAGTCGGTTACTATTGATCAAAGAGAATCTACTAATTATCTACTGATTTCATGGTCTGTTATCATGCATCAAAGAGAATCTACTGATTTCATGGTCTGTTACCATGGATCAAGGAGAATCCACTGATTTCATGGTCTGTTACTTTGGATCGAGGAGAATCTATTGATTTCATAGTCTGTTACCTTGGATCGAGGAGAATCTACTGATTTCATGGTCTGTTACCTTGGATCGAGAAAAATCTACTGATTTTCGTTGTTGCCTTTTTGTTTGCATCATATATAACACCAATTTCAATCTTTCAAATCTTGCTTTCAAAACTCTCTTACGAAATCTCTCTGCCCCCGTTTTCTAAAACTTTCCTCTTAAACTAGGGGGAGAATCTACTGATTTCATGGTCTGTTACCTTGGATCGAGGAGATTCTACTGATTTCATGGTCTGTTACCTTGGATCGAGGAGAATCTATTGATTTCATAGTCTGTTACCATTGATCGAGGAGAATCTATTGATTTCATGGTCTATTACCATTGATCAAGAAGAATCTATTGATTTCATGGTCTATTACCATTGATCGAGAAGAATCTACTGATTTCCGTTGTTGTTGCCTTTTTGTTTGCATCATATATAACACCAATTTCAATCTTTCAAATCTTGCTTTCAAAACTCTCTTACGAAACCTCTCTGCCCTGTTTTCTAAAACTTTCCTCTTAAACTAGGGCACTTTCCTCTTAAACTAGGGCTAGAGGCTCGAGCATACGTCGCTTGGCCATAGGTGACGCAAGAACGAATTGACTTATCTCACTTGTTGCTGGGAAATGAGTGCTGCACAATCGCAAGTCCGTTGCCATCAAAAGTACTATTTATTACCATGGATCAGGAGAATTTACTGATTCCTACTAATTACTAATTTCCTAGATCAGGGAGAAACTGATTACTAATGTACTGGTTTGTTACCAGAGAATCTACTGATTTACTTGTTTGTTACATGGATCCAAAGAATCTAAGGAGAGTCTGAGGTCGTGACCCACATAGGTCATTATGCCATTTAACCTAACACTTTGTTCTCGACTACGAAGCTTGGATTTGTATCAATATTGGAGAAGCCTTCTCTAATTCCGAGATGATTCAAAATTGTCTCGATGAAAATCAGATTCGCATACTCACAATCCCCAAATCACATCTGAAAAACACACGTACACACAGATTATCAACCGCAGAACTCAACGAGAGGTGGAAGAACAGAGAGATTAAGATTATACAATTAATATACCTAGGGCACGGGTAGCTTTAACGGCGGGAACGGCATCGGGATGAATCGGAGCGCGTTTGAGGACGTCGCAATGTCGTCAATAGTTCTTCCTCATTCATAAAGCTCCATCATCATCCGATCCTAAAATGGCGACACTAATCGAATCTCTATTTTGCTAGAGAAAAGAGTAAAACGAGGACGAACAAAATGAAATAAAGTATCATGAGAGAGTTCCATGGCATCATAGGGAGGAGAATGTTGAACAAATCAGAAGCGCCGAGTTCGTCCACCACACAATTACCACTGTCCAAGTCGATGATCGTCTTATCGAAGTCGGAAACAACTACAATCCCGGCCATTTTGCTCTGCAAATTCCGGTGACTCTGAGAACACGAAAGGGTTTGGTAATTGGTAACAGAGAAGGGATTATTTCTCTGCCACACACCACCGGCTGTATTAGTGGAAGTGTATTTATATAGTAGTCAGAAGCATTCGGATTCCAATAGAAAATTAAATTCGTAGGAAGAAATTAAAATATATATATAAATGGAATGACTATATTATTAAAAAAGGAATAGACGAAATCTTTAAAAACTTCTCATTTAAAGCTTTATTTAGTTGAATTAAATAATTATTCACATGAAAAATTAATGTAAAAATAAGAGGTAGGTAGGCACTAAAAATGTCCATAATTTAACCATAATATTTTTTTTTTCAAAATTATGTTATTTAGTTTTTTTTTTTTACTTTTTATTGCTGATTTAAATTTAGTCATCAAAATTATAAAATAAGAATTATATCAATTAAAATTGCTTAATATTTAGCTTTATTCCATTAAAATTAACTTAAATTATCTAAATAAAATTAAAAAGAATTATCACTTACTTATTTTTAAATAAAAAAATAGAAAAATAATAAAATATGTAAAAATTAAATACAAATATTTTTTAAATAAAATTATAATCGAAGTTTAATGTTTTAATTTAATGAACTTAATAAAGTTCTATTTTTTCTCCATTTTTATTTATGCCTTATTTTGAAAAGAAATAGGTAAGAATTATCAAATTTATATTTGTCTTTATAAAATTTTCTTTCTTGTCACAACGAATTCATATCCCACAAAGAAATACCAAACTGTGGAAATTCCAGCCATATTTTCGGAAAATCTAAAGATTGTAATTTGATTAGCTGAAATAACAAAAGAGTATTTTATTATAAAATATTAGTCTTAGTTTCTACGTAAAAAGAAATCTTTTTTTAAAAAAATTAATGTAAATAATTTCATTAAAAAGTATCGTTCAAAAAATGCGATATTCATTAATGTTTACAATCGTTATCACAATCTATTTCAAAGTCACAAAATTTTGTTTTTGAGAAAAATCAAATAAATAATGAAAGATTGGAAGAAACAAAGTTCGTTTATAATTTTTATTATTTAAATAAAAAGATTATATTATAAAAATTTAATATTATATATTATTATATAAATAATAAATAATTGAATAAGGTATTGTAAATTTATTAAAAAAAATTATCTCTAAAAAAAAATATTGATTCAAATAAAGATAAACATTTTTTTTTCTTTATTAAAGCGGTTATTTGAGTTTTGTAATGTTTAAATAGGATACAAGCTAACAACTAATCTATAAACAAACTAAATTTTAAAAATGAGATAAAATAATTATGTATATCTAAAATATATTTCATAACTAATTATTATAATATATACTTTCCGTAGTATATATATATATAGTTTGAAATATTTATTAAAAATATATAATTTTAAAAGATTATAAAGATTTATTGAATTTTGAAGATTGAAATTGTTTGAAAGTATATCGAAAGAAAAAAAGAACAATTATGAAAGCACATATTTTATTATGAATTATTATCAGTTCTTACAAATAAAGCCTCTTTTTCCGATTTCATTTTCCTGTCTCTCGGTAATAGGAATTGTGGGTAATTAACAATGTATATTACACAGAAACACCGATAATCCGCCACACCAAAAAGAGCGATGGGTAGCCACACCAAAGTCTTCCCCATCTTTGCATTTTCTACGGGGTCTACCCTAACTTTCCGGAGTGTGTTATTCAAATTATCATCCAATGGAAGGTAAAGATTGAATACAAAGCTGATTAGTGGCCTTGTAATTCGCATCCAATGAATGTTAAAGAGGATAACTCACCCGTATTATTATCGTGGTTTCTAGGCTGTAATGTGTGATCGTGTCTCCTCCAGCATTTGATCAGAGTAGTCGGGCGTTGGTTGTAAGTAACCACATGGGTTCCAACTACCTTATCTGAAGTCAGGGGTAAATAGAGGTCACCACTGGTCTATCTTTCAGTGTTTCACTGGTCTATCTTTCAGTGTTTCGTCTATCGTGGGATACTTTCATTAGGTTGATATGACTAATGCGCCATTTCCCGAGACAGGACCGTATTCTATATTGAATGATACTAGAAACGGAGCCCAATTATTGTCCAGCTGCCTGATTCCGTGCGTTAGACTACTCATAAGGTGGGAGCTTATTATATGTCTAAAAAGTAAACGTCATACCGCAGTTGGCCCACTCCACAAGCATGATGCTCTCTCTGATGGGACTACACAATACCCCCATCGGAGTAGGCGTGGAAGGTGCTGACTCCAAAAGCATGATCCAGTCTATGATATGACGTGGAAATATAGGAAGGTGTTAAGGAGTAAGGAGTAAGGGATTCTTTGGTCTGAGTTAGATGTAAGTTTGTGTAAGTGTGTGTGATGTGTAAGTTAAGTAGTCCGACTTTCTTTGTTGGTGGTCCGTGAAAAGGACTATGTGTTGAGAAAGTAGTAGTTTTTATTATTTATCAGTATGTTAAGTATTTTGAGAATAGTAGTACTCTAAAGGGTAACGCTTTTGGTGGAGTACTTTTTTGAGAATAAAAATAATAATTTACACTATTAAAAAACTAATTTTTTAATCCAAATTTAATTTTTTATTTAATCCACGTGCTTTTAAATTTGACCAAATTTTCAATAAAATTTTAATAATACTGATTTTTAGTACTAGGCAAACAAATATGAATGTCTATTATTTTAGCTTTTTGCTCGACAACGTAATAATTAATTTTGACCGGTCAAAATTCAAATATAATTGACATTCAATATCATAGCTAACAAATTTATGTTTTAAAGAAAAAGGACGTGTAAAATAAAAAGATTTGTATATTGATGGGTCAGATCTTTTAAAGCCAAATAATTTGTATAGTATAGGAAGAAATTACTTGGGTAGGCTCAAAATAAGACTTATGTGAGGTAAAGCCTAAGGTTTTCACGTTGCTTTTAAGAATAAGGTTAGAAATTAATAATAAAATCGAGAATAACATGAGTTGGGACCGTGCATCAATGCACAACTCCATGGAAGGGGTGGGTCTTCTCATAGTAATTATGATCAAGAATCATTTTATGTTTAAATTTGTATTAATTTAAATGGATGTGCATAAATGATTTATGTGAAGTGTCTCTTTCAAATAGTCAGATAAATCAAATCCGACCCAAATAAAAGGTTGAATTGAATCGAATATTAAAGCCGTTAAAAATTAGGGTCTGCGAAATTACACCTTTAATTCCTAATTTCACTAGGTAGACTGTTGATTGGTTTAACAAATTGGTTGTTTGAATTGAATTGAATTGGCTACCATTGCCGGTTTGGGAGAGGGGCAAGCCAGGGCTTCGTATGCGGGAACGGCCATATTTTTGGGCGACAACAGCTGTGCATTTTCCGCCATGGAAATGGTGTTGATTAAACTCGACAAGATCCTCGCCAACTCTTCTCCGTCGCTCCATTCGTGGATTTCTGCCTTAATCATAAGTGGATTTTGGCTAATCAAGCCCCACAGTGGAAAATTCTTCCTCGGCATCAGAAAATCCCCTTCTCCTAGCTTCAAACTAGGGCAGTAATCGCCACTTCCATCGCCTAAATAGATGACCTTCTTCTTCTTCCCATCTAACATTAACGAGGCTTGAATCCGCTCCATAATGATGCCCTAGATTTACGAACGAAAATTTCTCAGCATTTATGATATCGATTGATTCAGATCTGAACACATACAGCGCTGCAAATACGGATATACAATACCTTGCACATGTTCGGAGGGCAGAGATTGCATCCGTGAGAAGATTCATGGAACTCGTGAATAGGACGAATCCTTAATCTTCCTTCTTCATCGACGAAGCCTGGATTCGAGTTGATTTCGGAGAAGCATTCTCTTATTTCGAGATGATCCAAAATCGTTTCGATGAAAAACATATTCGCATCACTCACAATCCTCAAATTACATCTGAAAAAACACAAGCACAAACAGAGAACGCAGAAATCTCAGCCAATGTAATTCAATTAGAGATGTAAACACAAAAACAGAGAGAGATCCAACGATTCTATACCCTAGAGCATGAGCGGTTTTAATGGCTGGAACGACATCGGGAAGAATCGGAACGCGTTTAAGAACCTCAACAATATCGTCAATAGTTCTTCCTCCTGCATGGAGCTCCATCATCATCCGATCCTGAATATCACACCATAAATCTCTGTTCCGCAAACGATAAATCGACAACGAAGAGAAAAATATAATAATACCATGACAGAGTTCCACGGCATTGTAGGAAGAAGCTGGTTGAACAAATCGGTGGCACCGAGTTCATCCACCACCCAATTATCGCTATCCAAGTTAATGATCGTCTTGTCGAAGTCGAAAACCACATCGACTCCAGCCATTATCGCTCTGAAGATTCCGGCAACTCTGAATTTATTGGTTGGCTCTCGTACAATAAATCAAGGCATCCGGCCGTATTTATAGTGAGCTCTGACAGGAAAAGGAGGCAACAAAGGCGAGGCGTATGGGCCGTTAGATTCGATGAAATCGAATGGTTGAGATAAATGGAAATAATAGAATAATAAATAATTGGAATATGATAATATTTTAAGGTAATTGATTTCGTTGAGCCCGTAGGAGATAACCGTTTCCTTCCTCTTTCTAAATTTATTATTTAATAAAAATTTACAAATCAAATTATAAAAATACTTTTAAATTTCTAATATAATATTTTTATATTAAATTTATAATAAAAAATTTAAATATTAATTATTTACAGAAATGAAATAATAATAATACTAAATTTAATATTATCCCTTAATGCTGGTTCAGGCCCATGGGCTTCAATAGTATTATGGGCCGGCCCATCGTGGAGTCAATCATACAGAAAAAAAACCCGATGAAGAATGTGGGCCTTAATGGGTTAACAAATCTACCCGGGCCCATTTGAAGTTTGAAACAGGGAATTAATATAAATTAATGATAAGATTAGGGCATGATGGAGCTGGTAATAATTTCATTTATAGGATTCATTTTGTCTTACTAAATAGTTTATAATATTAGAAGATCAAAAAGAAAAAAAAAAGATTGAAATTTGGAGATTTATGTGATTATGTAATTGATAATATATTAAAATGAGAGCTTGAAAATGGAAAATGAGGTAATTGTTGAGGTGAAGGAAGAGGGAAGTTGGGGAATGTAAGGAACCAATGAGCATGAGCCGCATTTTGATATCACATCTCCAATCATAGCGTATACTCAAATGGATCATCCGGCGAAATCGGATACCCATCTGTGACAAGAAGTGAAATTTGTGAAGGAATTTATATAGTCTAAGATCTTTATGAACAAAAAACGCGCACGATTGATTGATTGATCGATCGAGGGAGAGAGAAGAAGGAAGAGCAAGTGTTCGTTCGTGGGTATATGTTTGGGGTTTGTAACTTTATGAAACTGATCTATGTATATGAGCTTTTTCCAATTTTTGTTTATTTTTTTCTTCGTTGTGTTTGGACGGTTTGATGAGTTCGACTTGTTTTAATCCCGATTTTCTCCTTCTAGAGAGAGAAAAAGGCTTTTAGAGAGACAAGACATACACAGGGGAGAGGCTTTTAGAGAGAGAAAGTTCTGGGAGGCGCAGGGGAATTGGGCCTTTTTTCCCAGTTCGCGATGCTTTGATTGGAATCTGCAGCAGCAGCAGCAACAACAACAATTGGATTTTCCCCTTTTGGTTTTGTTGTTTTGGTTTTTTTTTTTTTTTTTTCTTCTTCTTCTTCTCCAATTTGTTCTTCTGGGTTTTCGAAAATCGTTGACGGGGTTTGTTTCCAAGCTGTGGTTTTTGTAAACCCAGAAAGGGATCTTCGATGCATTGATTTGATTTGGTGGATTTGGATTTTTCCTATCTGGAGTTGCTTGGATTTGCGTTTTTTTTTTTGGCGAAATGAATGGTGGAAACGAGGTCGTTGCAGCTCAGGCCGGCCCGCCGCAGCCGCTGGACTGGAAATTCTCCCAGGTCTTTGGCGAACGTACAGCCGGTGAAGAAGTTCAAGAAGGTACTATTCACTTTCTACTATAATCCAAATGTTTTTTTTTTCCCCATTTGGGGTTTCTCGATCCAATTAAAATTTGGGGGCATCCATTGCAATTAGGGTTTTTCGGGTCTCCGATCTGTTACAGATTGTATGTCGTTCTGTTAATTTGGAATCCTGTTGTGGATCTCTATCTCGTTCTGTTAATTTGCTGGGAATTTTTGGTTTGGTTCTGTAATGAGAGGGAGTTGAGCTTGCTAATTCAGATGTTCTTCTAAGATTGTGCACAGCATTGTTCCTTTCGTTGATAGGATTAGTGACAAGCTTCGAACCTAAGCCTGGTGAGTGAGTTCTGGAATAGCTTTGAGTTTCTGGATTGAATTTACTGTAAGTGAATGCAAAGAGCATTGCCCAACTGTGTGGAATGACTCCTCCCTGATATGATATCCCTCTCATCCATCCTCCATTCAATATTATTTGAAAGCTGGGTAATTTTAATGTAATGTGTCTAGCTTTCTGGTCAAAACCGAGCCTGAAAAATGTTTGGTTCCTGTTTATCTGGACGTTCGCGTATGGTAGAGTTTTGATTCTTGGTTTGCTACCGGTGGAGCTTGGTTTGGATCTTCACTTCGTGATGTGAAAACAGAATGCAAGTAATATCACAAAAAGTGTATCAAATTTCGTATCATGAGCCGCGAAACGTCCTGCAATGACCTAACCTTTAACAGATTTACGTTCGCAATCCACTTTTGGAATGTGGTGTTGTATGCATATTGCATGAAAAGCTAAAATGCTGTCGAGGCATTCTTTTAGAAATTGTTTTTGAGAAAAATTAGAATATTTTAGAGAAATCATGACATTTTTGGGAATGAACTTGTTTTCTTTCCAAGGAAAGTTTGGTTTCTTCATTAAAAAAGAAAAAAAAAATTTCCCTCTTTTTCCTTGGAGTGCTACAGCTGAGCCATGTTGTAACTACTACTCCCCTTTATGATCTGCGTTGGTGCCTCTCGTGGCTTTATGTTATTAGAACGGAAGTTGCGAGACCTCTTTTGTCTACGCTTCTCTCTTTTTACTCATTATTATGCGTCTTGGGCTTCCAGATGCTTCTTTGTGGAGTCTTCAAACTTCTATTGCCTTTCACGGCTCAGCTGTTTCGTCTCTCATTGTACCACTTCCTTTCCTTTTCCTAACTGCAGAACTCCTTGAGATAATGATCTCTGTTGTAGGCCCTCACTCCACTGTATGAAGGTAGAGGTGAACTATCAAGCTTGTTAAAGATATCGTTCATCTTCTGTGTTTTCATCTACATTTCGGCTTTTATTTTGAACAGTCAAGTTATTATGGGAATGGGCGTTCCACATCAACTCACTTGTGCCAGCATGAAAAGATGTCTCTCTCAATCTATCTGTGTCTATTTAGCTTTGGAATGGGTTTGGCTGCTTGGATCTGATATGAAAATGTTTTAATATGTTATCGTAGCCGTTTCTGCTTAGTTAGTTTAAAAGCAACAAGTTGATGCATGCCGTTTCCATAGTTCAGTTATCTTGATTTGTCTTTGTATGAACTTCTCAAATTTTCTATTCATCTCCCTTTTGGCAGTTGATATTATTTCAGCAATTGAATTTGATAAAAGCGGGGATCATCTTGCTACTGGTGACCGTGGTGGCCGGGTGGTGCTCTTTGAGAGGACGGATACAAAAGATGTTCGTTTCTTGGAATCATGACTGCTTTGTTATTTTGCCCCTAATATCTTTATTGCTTCTTGTGTTCTTTAGTATTAACTCTTTTTTTATCCATTTTAACTTGTAGCATGGTGGATCTAGAAGGGATCTGGAGAGGACAGATAATGCAATTAGCAGGCATCCAGAGTTTCGTTATAAAACAGAATTTCAGAGTCATGAACCTGAGGTATTCTCTCTACCATTAATTTTGTGGTTGATTGTTACTTTTATTTGTTGGATGAACGATGAACGATGAACGACTTCTATTGCATTTATATTTATTATTCATTTGTCTTGCTTTTTATCAGTTTGACTATCTGAAGAGTTTGGAAATTGAGGAAAAAATTAACAAAATCAGATGGTGCCAGCCAGCTAATGGTGCCTTATTTCTGTTATCTACTAATGATAAAACTATCAAGTACTGGAAGGTAGGCTACTGCTTTTATCTCTTGTTATCATTCTATATGGTGGACACTGGATTTGATAGTTGGTTTTATGTTTTAGCAATTACACAACAAAGCCCACAAATATCTTGGACACTGGATTTCTTTTTTCTTTTTTTTTTTCTCAATGAAAGTTCATTTTTTTTCATAAGAAAGGTTTTAGCAATTATATCAAATATCTTGGTTGCATATTTCTGGAGGTTACTTGGTTTAATCCTCATATTACTTGTTCTTTAAGGTTCATAAATTTTGAAGGGATGAAACTTAAAGCTTTATTTATGGTAGTCCAGTAGATACCAGGGGCAGACGTTTTTAGATTATCATGTCCATCGCATTTCAAAATTTATGAATTGCTAATGCATAATGCAGAAGAATTATTCTAAACTTTGATGATTCTCTTTTAAAGTTCATCTACAATGAAAATGTAGAGTATTTTGAAACGAGTCAGAAGACCCTTTTCTCTCTCCCCCACATGAACATGAAAAATCAACGATTTTCACTTATATTTGTCCTTTTGTAGTGTTTTTGCTGGTGTTTGTTCTGCACCATTTACTTCTTTCTTTTGTTTCGAGTGTGGATCAGGTGCAAGAAAAGAAGGTAAAAAAGGTTTCTACCATGAATGTGGATCCTTCTAAATCTGCTGGAAATGGCAGCAATGCAAGTTCGAGCAATTCAAGTAGCTCTGGAAAATATCTTGCAAATGGAGGATCCCCAGATCGGTGTCTCAATAACGACCTCTCATTTCCAGTAAGGGGCGTACAGTCACTACGCTTACCAGTGGTAGGCCCTCACCCACTTGTATTAATGATCATACATATTGCTGTTAGTTTCATGCCATTCACGGTGGTGCTATTCATACTAATAGTTTGAGTAGACATTTGCTCATTATTGGTTATTTTTAGTTAAGTTTTTGTTTGATTACTGCTTATTTTTAACTAAGGTTTTGTTTGATTAGTGGTTATTTTTAATAAGTGTTTTGTTTTATGTTATTTTTATTTTTAGTTCTCTCTTAAAAAGTGAAGCTTGTTCACTAATTATTTATTTTTTACTTCACTTTTCGAAAACTCTTGACACGGCCAATTTTTTTCTTTTCTTAAAAAAGAGTACATCTACTGTAACTATTGTTTTCAGTTAAAATTTGGCTAGAAAAGAAATAAAAAACAAGAGGCCGACTTATTCAATTATTTTTGCCTTCAGTTCTTAAGCTACTAGTTTTGCAGGTAACTACCCACGAGACTAACCTGATGGCTAGATG